TCCACTTCAAACATTTCGCAACATCTTAAACAATTGATTAACTCCACATTCCTCCGCGTAAGGCGGAGATTGACCATTCTATAATTGCATCATTATTAAAAACGTCATGTTGCAATTTCAAAAATAAGTTGGAAACAGTAAATTTGCCCGGCCTATAATCAAATCTCCGCATTATTTCACCGGGGTCTAATCCTCTGTATTCGTCACGAGGCAATGGGGTGGTCGATCATCCAATAAAATCAAATATATGACTAGTCTCGTATAAATTTACAATATTGCAGATTTTTTTCATCGTTTATCTTGATAAAAAAAAAATCATTTATCTTGATAAAAAAAAAATCATAACTTTATTACATAAATTATGATATATGACGACTAAGCACCATTGCGGTGATAACTCGCATGATGCCCATCTTTATGTATAATAGTATTTAGTAAACTATATTCGAAGCGAGACTGCAAACGCATTTTGAAAGATTTAAATGGTTATTCAGCCTCAATTGTGCGATAAATTGACACCAAACTTGGTAAAAAGAAGTCTTAACATTTATTTTACAAAGTTATGTTAAAATATTTGTGCTTTATATATAGTCTTACCAGTTTGTATAATATACGGTTTAAAAAAAATGTATTGGATTTTATATATACCAAATTGAAATATATTTTTTAATTAAAAATTTTACCATATTATATAAAATCTGAAAATATAACTTTATTAAGAATGCAGTAAAGAGCGAAATATATTAAGATTGGAAAAAAATTTTTATTATTAAGCGTAAAATTCCTAAAAGTATTTTATTAATCTTTTAATATAAAAAATTGCGGCATAAATTTTGAGTTGGATGATCGACCACCCCCCAACGAGACAAGTAGCACCTATTAAATAGAACCGTTCATTAGATTCCAACAATAAAATCACGAGTTTCAGATGAATAAATATTATCGTATCGAAGTGCACCTTTATGCCATGTTGATAAGTACTTATTATCCATAACTCCGTTCTCGTAATAAGCATCAAGCAATATATTATATGATAGTCCATGTCTATAAGCGTTTGGCTTTAAATCGTCCGGTGGCATATGAAGTGGG